CCCCCCTAAACCTATCACCTAATATTCTCAAATAGCCTCAAATTTATTACGTAAACATCGTAATAAAAATGATAATTTGTAACGCGCCTCAGGCGCGTAATTGACTTCGTCAATTTAATATTAACTACCATCTAATAGTTTGATTTCAAGTTACTTTCAATACCAATCAATTATTCACTTAATAATGTCTGTAAACGCATTTGCTTTTATGAGTATTGAGAAATTCAACACATTGGTTGAGGAATATCTCAACAACTTAGAATCCAAATTTCGGGAAAAGGCATTGATTTCGCAGGAGCTTGCTAATGTTGCAATAGATGTACTGATTGCTGATAATCAACATCCAAAAGATTTGAAAAAGTGGGTTATGAAGCATTTTGCAATAATGAGAATCGGAGAGTCAAATCATTTAATTGAGAAAAAATCGGAGAAATTTGTCTGTGTCAGAGAACGCTTGTATGATGTGATTGGAGGGTTACATGAAGAATTGCAGCATGCTGGTTATAGAAAAACTTATGAATGTGTAAGTTGCTTATGACACAATATGCATTACTGCTGAAAATGTTAACACTATTTTCCAGATTTGTAAACAGTATAGCTGGATTCCGCGACCGCTTGTAGCAAAATGTGTTGCTGCTTGCAGCACTTGCACAAACAGAAGACCATTAAAGACATCATCAGAAATAAAACCAATCATTGAGTTAGAATTTTTATCCCGAATGCAGGTATGCATTATATGATTATTAATAAAATTAATGAACATACATTTGACTTGTTTCTGAAGATTGACCTTATAGACATGAGGGCTCGACCAGATGGAGAATATCGATGGATAGCACATGCAAGAGATCACTTTACTCGATTTTCCTGGACAAGACCTTTGAAGAGTAAAGAGGCTAAGTACGTAGCTAGCTTCCTACTTGAATTATTCATGACATCTGGTGCGCCGAAAATTCTGCATTCAGACAATGGGAAAGAATTTGTGGCACAAATAATAAAAGACCTGATAGATCTCTATCCGAAAACCATGATAATAAATGGACGTCCGCGCCATCCTCAGTCACAGGGGATGGTTGAAAAGGGAAACGATATACTTGAGACAAAACTTTCAGCTTGGTTGGAAGACAACAAACGTAATGACTGGAGTTTCGGATTGCAGATGGTGACATGTAAGTTTTTTTGTTTTGTTTTTTTTTGAATAAAATGCAACGATTTATTATTATAACAAGTACATTAATTCCCATAATAGGGGCTATGAATACTCAAGTATGCACAGCAACGGGGCGAACACCCTACGAGCTTGTATTTGGACAAGGGCCTCGTTCGAATTATGCCTTAATTAAGGAATTTTACGATCGGGGAATAAGAGATGAAGAAGATATCCCAGATAATGTGGAAGTTCAAGATGATGAGTATAGGGAAGAAATAGTAGATACTTGTGAGTCAAACGATGCTGGAACAAGCAATAATATAAATGAATTAGACAACATCAGCATGCCTGGATCTGATCATGCTCCAACTTCACCCCATGAAGCATTTCGTAAAATAGCAGCTGAAAATATACAAAAAAGTGTTGAGCGAATGAGAACAATTGTGGAAAAAAGAAAATGGCAGATAATGTTCTCAGTTGGAGAGTTGGTACGCGTCAATATTCCTCGAATAGACAGAGCAGGAATTGATAGGAGGTCACTTCCATGTAAAGTTCTGGAAACTCTCGATGGGGGTTATTACCGTCTTGGCTGTGTTTTTGGGGTGCTAGATAGGTGTTATTTAGCAGGTGAAATGGAAACCGTGAGTGCAGAGTTTCCAGAACTTGAAAAGATTCCTGAGACTCGAATATCACTTACGGCGGCTTCCCGATTACAGAGTTCTGCTGCTGCTGTCAATGCCCTATGCCATTGCAAGTCCGGTTGTGCAACTAGCAGGTGTGCATGTAGGAAAGCAGGTGTCGCTTGTAGCTCTCGCTGCCATTCTTCAATATCTTGTCATAACAAAGATAATTAGACATGCATATTCTAATTCATATTAATAAAGAATTTATAATCATCGTATTTGC